GGGCGGGCGGGCCCCCGGGCCTGGGCCTCCCTTTGCTCGGGCCCGGGGCCCGCGGAGGTGCGTGCACACCCGCGGCAATGAGGGGCCGGCGGCCCCGGGGCTGCGGTGGCCGGTGCCGCTTCCTGGAGGAGGCGCGCCCGAAGCCCCGCCCTGGTGAAGGGCCCAGGCCGAGCCGCGTCCTGGGGTACCAGGCAAAGAGCGGCTCGGCCCATGTCCCGGGGGGGCAGACGGGCCCAAGCCCCCAGGCCTCCAGCCAGAAAGTGGCGGGGCCGCTTGGCCGCTGGGCTGTGGACTCTAGATCGCCTCCTGCCCCACCTGTCTCCCAGCATCCCTCTCTTTCTGGCATTTGGTCGCACTGAGCCGTTTGAACTTCGCGTTTGGTGATGAGGCTCCGGACAAGCCTTGTGCGCAAGGTCCGGTTCCTGGGCGACCCGGGTCCTGAAACCTGGCAGGGCGTCCACATGGTGTTGGGAGGCAACACCCCCGTCTGCTTCCTGTAGACAGCCCTCTGTCTCATTCCCCTGGCGACAGTAGCCATGTGATACCTTTACTGCTTTGTGTGCAGTCTTTGAGCAGGAGGGTGTGCTGACTCAGCTGCCAAGTCAAGGTGGACAGAGGGTGTGCGGCCAGTAACCCCAGTGATCGTTACTTTGACATCCAAGAAGAGTTGTCAAGTGGATTAAGAAGTGAAGGCCATGCCCCCTTATCTGCTGTCACCCACCTGGGAAGCATCCTGTCCTTCAAGGATTTGCTCTGGCAAAGGTGTGCACTGTGTGGACAGCAGTAATGCCAACATGGACACTTTTGGAAGTGATGGGCCCCAGTACCAATTGTCTGTACAAGTAAAACTTAAGCTTTGAAAAAATGATCTTTTAGTTATCGGCTTCAAAGGAATTCATTGTTAAATGTTAGGCACCTGTGTGTACCCTCCAGGAAAGACTAATAATGCACACCCAAATATGTCCACGTCCCCAGAACCTGTGACTGTGTCTTCCTATAGCAAAAGGGTCTTTGCAGCTGTGCCCAAGGCTCTAGACATGGGGAGAGCACCCTGCAATATCCAGGTGGTCTGCAGTGGTCCTAGGAGGCCAGAGGCAGAACAGAAGGCCAGGTGCTGGTGAAATGGGGGTTGGAAGATGCTGCACCACTGGCTTTGAAGGAGGAGGAAGGGGCCACAAATGGACCACGGAATGTGAGTGGTCTCTAGAAAGTGGAAACAGACTCTCCTCTGGAGCTTCCAGAAAGAAGCAGCTCTGCCAACACCTTGATTTTAGTTCACTGGGACTCATCCTGGCCTCGAGTTCCCCGACTGTAAGAGCATGTGTTTCTTTGTGTTGTTGATCGTTTGCTGCAGCACCCACAGGGAGCTCATACACCTTCTCAAGCACATGCTACTCGGAATCGAAGATGGCTGACCTCTACCTTCTTTCATCTGTGTGTTGTTAACTGAGGTCATTGGGAACTTGTTGAGTTTGTGTGATCCGTTACCTGGCGAGAGATATGGGCTTTAACCACTGGGTTTCTTTTTCCTACAGCTGCCAAAACAAAGTACCGGAAGGGATGTGCTCTTTAACAACTGTGTTTATTTCCTAGAGCTGCTGAAACAAAGTATCAGGAGAGAAGTGGGCTTTAACAACTGTGTTTATTTCCTAGAGCTGCCGAAACAAAGTATCACAAGGTGGATGGCTGAAAACCAGAAACTCATTGCCTTACAGCTGTGGAGTTCCACGTGAATGTCAGTGGGACCATGAGCTCTCTGAAGGCTCTAAGGAAAGGTCCTCCCTTGGCTCTCCCAGCTTCTGAGCCGCAGGTGTTCCTTGGCTTATGGACATGAAACTCTGTGGTCCCATGGCTGTCTTCCCTGTGTGTCTCTTTTCTTTCATAGGACACTACTCAGATGGGATTAGGACTCACCCTGCACCAGTAGGACCGCATGTTCAGTTAACCAATAACATCTTCAAACATCCTGTTTTCAAACAAGGTCATGTTCACAGAGACGGGGCTTAGCAACACAATGCACTGCCCTGGAGTCGGATCCGACTCATAGTGACCCCTCCTTGGGTTTCCAAGGCAGTATCACTATGGAAGTAGTGGAAGCCCAACCTTCCTTCCGAGGAGTGGCTGGTGGATTTGAACTGCAAGCCTTCTGGTTAACAGTCAGTTGCCTTAGGCACTATGTCACCAGAGCTCCTACAGGGCTTAGGACTAAAGCATATCTAACTCACACCACTCCGGCCTGGGCTGCTTTTTGAGCCCCATTTATGTGCAGTGCTGTGGTCCTTTCCCATGGAGCTGGCCACTTCCATGGCCAATGCTCTTCTCTGTGTGGCCGTGATTACCTTTAGCAGCCAACCTGCCGGTTTTTCCTGCCGTTTTGAATCCGCAGACTAGGAAGCCAATGCTGAGTTGTCTTTACTGTCTGGACTTGGGGAATCTGTCTCGATGGCTCAGAGGCCTTTGTTCCCTTCCTTCATCTTGGCAGGTTTTCGCTTTGATGAAGTGCAAGGTGGCCAGCCTCCCGTTAAATGTGGGTCCAGGTGGACGTGCACAGCACACACGGCCCTTCCCGAGATCTGCTCGAAGTCCGCGGCCACAGCAGCTCCTTGTCAGCAGAAGTCCGGCCCTGGGGGAGCCTGGGCCTTGTTTGAAGCGGGCATCTGCACGTGAATGAGATCCCAGCACCTTCGCAGCCAAGCCTGGCCCTCGACCCCTTGGGCAGACTGCTAAGGGGAGGGCCCAGCGGCAGCTGTCCAACAGTTCTCTGGCCTGCCTGCTCAGGCGTTGACTCAGGCCCTCGCCTGCTTCCTTCCTGCAGGCATCAAGCTAGGACTGCAGTCCATCCCCATTGCCACAGCCTGTACCATTTACCACAAGTTTTTTGGCAAGACCGACCTGGATGCCTATGACCCCTACCTGATAGCCATGTCTGCCATCTACCTGGCCGGCAAGGTGGAGGAGCAGCACCTCCGCACTCGGGATATCATCAACGTGTCCAACAGGTGAGCACTGCGTGGGCCAGGCCTCTGTGCGGGGCCACTGAGTGGCCCAGTTGGGCGAACAGAGAAGGGCCACTTGAGCTCTGAAGGAGACAGCAGTGGGCCTTGAAGTGGAGTTGGAAAGCCTCATCGGCAGAGACAGGAAAGGACTCTTTGTAGAACGCCACGGAGGTGGGTGGAGGTGGGTAGAAGGGACCCATAGCCCCATGGGGGACCTTGAGCAGAGGCACTGCTGGGAGGGAGTGTCGGACAGGCCTATGGAAACGGGGTTTGAGGCGGGAAGGCACATGGGGCTTGTAGTCTGGCACTGTGCGGGGAGTGGTGTCTCATTGAGACGTGGTCAGGGTGATGCCAGAGAGCAGCCCTCGTCCTGGCAGGGAAAGCCCACTGGGAGCCCAGAGCCATGTTTCTTGGTGGGGAGAGACGCAGGAGCCCTGCAAGGCAGGTGTGCTGTGCTGATGCCGTGGCCCAGGGCGGAGCGAGCTGGGAGGAAGCTGGCTGCCTGCCCACTAACTCGGAGAGGTTACTGACCACGTGGCCTGCCCTCCAGGAACACTGATCCCAGGCATGACAATGCTGTGCTACTGCCCCTTTGTTCTTAACTAGGAGCATGATGGGGCCATCAGGCACAGGGGCGTCCGTGATTGCCCTGTGCACAGCAGGCAGTTGCAGGAGGGGAAATGGTGCTGACTCCCCATTGGACGGGTGTGTCAGTGGGCACAGGTAGGGAAATGAGTCAAGAGGGGCAGATTGTGGCTGCTTGCTCGAGTCTCCTTCCCATGTGTCTTGGCGAGCTCACGTATGTCGGAGCCCAGTGGGAGGCTATTGTGGGCATCAGGAAAGTAGGTTCTGGGATACTGAAGACGGGAAAGCCTGCCCTCTTCTGAGCTGTCATTCCTGTGGCATGCGGAGGTCCGGTCCCTGGGGACCAGAGTGAGGTTCCAGGTCACCGAGGCGGTCCTCAGCACCAGGCCAGCTGCAATGAGGACTGACTGAAGCCATGGCTTCGGCTCAGCTGGGGTGATGGCGGCATGCCAGGCCTTATTTGCCGTCTTGCTGGACGATGCAGGATGGCCCGTCAGGGCTGCAGAGAAGTTACCCTTCCCTCTGGTGGCACACTTCACCCTGTGCATGAGAGCTGCAGCTGAGATCAAACAGAAAGCTAAGCGAAGTATGAGCCCCGTTCACCGACAGCTGAAGCTCCCCGTCGTTCTGAACGGGACAGCAGGTGACTTCAGGACTCACGCGGGGTCCGTCTGCTTCTCTGCACAGGTACTTTAACCCGGGCAATGAGCCCCCGGAGCTGGACGCCCGCTTCTGGGAGCTCCGGGACAGCATCGTGCAGTGTGAGCTGCTCATGCTGAGGGTTTTGCGCTTCCAGGTCTCCTTCCAGCACCCACACAAGGTATGCGTTTCAGCGTTTGTCCTGAGAGCGAGGCGTGTCTGGTACTTACCCCCAACTCGGTGCTCTTGGGATTGTCTCAACAGCCTCTTGAGGTGGGTTCTCGGTGGACACCTTTTCACTCGCTTCTCTGTGGGGGTGCCCTGGAATCTGTGCACCCTTGGGAACCAGTGCAAGTCCATGGGCCTGTTACCCCAGATGACTCTGGGGTGCTGTGTAGGTGGAATGACCGAGCCAGGTTTGGGACCTGCTGTTCCCTGTCACTGCGAGTGGCTCTTTGGCCTTGGTGCTTATAGCCAGCTCAGCCGTGTTTAGAAATACATGAGAAAAGCCAGGTAGCTTGAGTTAAGGATGCAGATCCATCTAGAACAGCAGCAAGAAGGGAAAGTGAAACTCTTGAGCACATTTGGACATGATGCTTTGCCTTATGCCCCCATGGAAACAGCTTGGAGAGGGAGATGGGGAGGTGTGATTTGTTGCTGTGGGCTCAGATTTTCACCCAGTCTTTTCTCAGTTAGCATCATGCTGGACAAGTGTCTTGGTCAGGGAGGAGCTGAATTGGTGTCCGTGGGAGGAAGGTGTCGGGACGAGTCAAGAAAGCCAAGTCCTTGGGCTTTTGAGGACATGTACTCAGATGGGCACTGGTGGCTGGCACTGCTTCAGCTATCGTGTGCCTTCTCCTTCCTTGAGTTGGGATAGGAGTCTGAAGCTTGTGTCCAGAGTGAACGTGGTAAATTCCTTCCTACGTGGCTGCAGTTGCAGTATCTGAGCAGCCTAGGGCTGCCCTAAAAGGTGCCATGAATGGGCGGGTGGGAAGAGCTGAGGATCATTGTCTCACCGTTCTGGATGTGGGGAGTCATTCTGAGGCTCTGAGAGGGCAGAGTCTGTCCCAGGCCTCTCCTAGCTCCTGGTGACAGCCTGCGATCCTTGGTGTCCCTTGCCTTGTAGATACATCAGTCCAGTCTCTGTCACTGTGCTCACATGGCTAACCTTCCTCCTGTGTGTGTGTCCAATATATCAAGCCCAACCCACCACTGGCCAGTTGATTCTGACCCACAGCGCCCCTAGAGGACAGAGTGGAACTGCCCCACAGGGTCTCCAAGGCTGTCAGTCTTCACAGAAGCAGACTGCCTCATCTTTTTCTCATGCAGCCACCGATGGGTTTGAACCACTGACCTTTCGATTACTGGCCGAGCCCTTAACCCCTGTGCCACCAGGGCTCCATTACTCCAGTATGGCCTCCTGGTAACTGAACTGATTGTATTTGCAAAGATCCTGTCTCCATGCAAGATCACGTTCACTGATACGGGGCTTAGGAACCCAGCCTGTCTTTCTTGGAAGACACACTTCATTCAACCCCTAACACGTCTTTCAAGGGAGCATGTCAGTTCTTTCTGCTCTGCCTGTGATTTGGGCACAGATGGAGCTGCTGTACAGACGAAGGTTCTGTTCCCGAATCTGGCACTCTCTCAGGTGCTTGGGCACTAACTGGAAAAGTGCAGGCACCAGACTCTGGCCTTGAAAGCAGGTGCCCTGTTGCCATGGGGCACATGGCATCTGGCTGGGCACACAGGGCACAGCACCTACCCTGCCCTCCAGAGCATATGTCTTAGTTGGACAGACGTCACAGTGAAAAAGTGAACAAACAATTCCCGATGGTGACCAGAACAGGGTGATGCCATGGAGAGGGGTTGTGGTAGGCAGCCATTCGGGATCTTCCGGGTGGTCTCATGGGTGCTAGGCCTGAAGGAGGTCACGTGGGGGCTGCGGGCTCAGAGATGACTTTGGGCTCTGGAGGGGTGTGCCTGGCACCTTCCAGTGTGGCAAGAAGGGTATGGTGGTATGTTGTGGTGATGCCATCTCTCACAGCTTGGGAGGAGGTGTGAGGGACAGGCGGCCCATGGCCGAGTGAGGCGCGAGGAGGTGGCCAGTGGGGAGGGGCTGGGGTTCCCAGGCAGCGTTGCTCACCCATGTGTGCCCTCAGTACCTGCTCCACTACCTCATCTCACTCAAGAACTGGATGAACCGCTACAGCTGGCAGCGGACGCCCATCTCTGTGACCGCCTGGGCCCTGCTGCGAGACAGCTACCATGGGGCGCTGTGCCTCCGCTTCCGTGCACAACACATAGCCGTGGCGGTGCTGCATCTGGCCCTGCAGGTCTACGGCATGGAGGTGCCCGCCGACGCTGAGGCTGGCAAGCCGTGGTGGCAGGTGAGGTGGCCAGGAGCATCTGTTTCTGGGCGCTCACGTTCCTTTTCATTCGCTGTCTGCGACGCTGGGGCCAGTGGCCTGTCAGCACCCGCAGCATGGGGTTTCTCCACTCTGTGACTGTCCCGTGCGGTGAACGGGAGCCCCGGGCTCTTCCTCAGACTCCAGCCGCCTCCCTCCCTGCCGCAGGTCTTGGCTCACACGCCCCGTCTCAGTGCCACCTCCCTGCCCACCCTGTTGAAAGTTGAAGCTTTTCTGATGCTCCCTGCTCCTCGGCTGATGCCAACACACTGAAGAAACATCAGGAGCCTGGGGGCTGGGTTGCAGCCAGTGCACTGATCTCCAGGCACCTCGGCTTTTTGTCCCCACATAGGAAGGAGGCGTTTCCGAGCGTGAGGTGCAGTCGAGTCATCAGACCCTTGTGGTTCCTCTGAGGACTTGGGGCTGTGGCTCCCTACCCAGACTCTTGCCTTTTTTTTTTTT